ATCGAGTCGCTTGGCCTTGGCTAAAATTAAGATCGGGAGGGAGTGAGACAGCGAATGAGAGAAAGAGAGAAAGAGGGAGAAACGGGAGGCATTTGTTACAGGCAAGGCGAGCCAAGGCAAGGGGCAAGGCAGGAGGCGAGGCAAGGGGCAGGGTACGAGGCAAGGCAAGGGGCAAGGCAAGGGACAAGACAAAAGACAAGACAACGGGCAAGGCAAGGGGCAAGGTAAGGGGAAAAGCAAGGATAGACAAGGGGAAGACAAGGCAAGGCAAGGAGCAAGGCATGGAGCGAGGCAAGGGTCGAGGCAAGGGGAAAGGGGAAAGGCAAGGCATGGCAAGAGGCAAGGGGCAAGGTGCAAGGTGCAAGGGGCAGAGGCAAGGAGCAAGGGGCAAGGGGTAAGAGGCAAGGGGCAATGCAAGGCAACAACCAAACAAATTGACATACGAACAAATCAAACAACCAAACAAACAAACATACAAACCAATCAAACAACCAAACAACCAACCAAACAAACAAACAAACCAAACAAATAACAAAACAAACAAACATACAATCCAACCAAACAACCAAACAAACAAACATACAAACCAATAAAACAACAAAACAAACAAACATACAAACCAAACAAACAACCAAACAAACAAACCAATCAAACAAACAAACAAACAAATTAACTAACTAATTAACAAACTAACAAACAAACTAAGAAAGAAACCAATGAAACAAACAAACTAACTAACTAACAAACAAATAAACCAATGAAACAAACAAACAAAGAAACCAATGAAACAAACAAACAAAATAACTAACTAACAAACAAACAAACCAACCAATCAAACAAGCAATCAAACAAACAAACAAACGAACAAACGAACAAACGAACAAACGAACAAACGAACAAACGAACAAACGAACAAACGAACAAACGAACAAACGAACAAATCAGTCAAACGACCAACGAAACATACAGAAAAACAAACAAACAGACAAACAAAAAAACAAACTAACAAACCAATCAAACAAACAAACTAAATAACAAACTAACAATCAAACTAACTAACAAACTAACAAACAAACTAACTAACAAACTAACAAACTAACAAACTAACAAACAAACCAATCAAACAACCAACGAAACATACAGACAAACAAACAAACGATCGAATAAACAAACAAACAAACCAATCAAACAAACAAACAAACAAGCCAATCAAACAAACAATCCAATCAAACAAACAAATCAACTAACAAACTAACGAACAAAGAAGCAAACAAACAAACAAACAAACAAACGAACAAACAATCCAATCTAACAAACAAACAACCAACGAAACATACAGACAAACAAATAAACAAACGAACGAATAAACAAACAAACAAACAAACAAACGAACAAACAAACGAGCAAACAAACAAACCAATCAAACAATCAAACCAACAAACGAACAAAGAAACAATCCAAACTAACAAACAAACTACCTAACAAACTAACAAACAAACCAATCAAACAACCAAAGAAACATACAAACAAACAAACAAACTAACAAACAAACAAACAAACTAA